GTTTTTTGTTATTCAACCCAAGCCTTTGGAATTATTCTAATCCTCAATATGACTCATGAAGTGTCACTTTATCCTAAAGGCAAGTGGTCCAAGAGTTGAAATATTTGTAATTATCTTTCAGACTCCATGATCCTCCAAGCTATTACTTCATTATAACTCCGTTTCTGAAAGATGGTTTGTTTCTTTTTTTTTTCTGATATAATAAACATTTTGATAGACAGGTAGCTTTCGTATCTTGAATTTCTTATTTAATGTTGATATGAGAGCAGTTGTTTGCAGTTCTTCCCCTGATGCACCATCACCCATTTTTCTGCCACTGACCATGGACACCAATAGACATTTCCCAGGCTTTTATCACCAAGGAACACCTTGCTTAGGCCACAGCATCAGATACTGGGGTTGGTGAGGAAGCCACCAAACCAAGAAAGTTGGGTTTTCATGCAAGTCATTTCATCCCTCGGAGACTCAGTTTTCTCGGGTGTAAAATGAGAGTTTGGGTTAGTTCAGTGAATACCGAGAGTTCACACAAGTAGTAACAGGATCAGCAGCAATTCAGGCTGATATTTATCTAGCAGCTACTTCATGATTTTTAATATGCCAGAAACTAGTTAGTACCCAATGGAGTATAGGAGTGGGGAGACAGACTACTAAATGAATAATTCTGACTGATTAATAATATGGTGAGAACTCAGTTCAAGAGAAGCAAGGGAAGCTTTGGAAGCATGATAAGAGGCCACAGGTTTTTCTAACACTTCAAACATTTAATTAAATACTTACATTTCTTCTGATAAGAAGAGCTGCTTCACAGAAATACCAAGTTTCTTTTTGGTACTTGGAAAAATGTCAACCGAGTGTGGTAATGTTGGTTGTATCATGGTGACCTGGATTGCTGGTTGGTAGTTATAGCCGCAGCTACCAACTCAGGCACCTGTGCCAAACAGCATGCCATGAACCCTAAAACCAACTTTTTAATGCACATTGTGGATCACAGATGGGTATTATTAACAATGTGTACCATCTGGTAGCTTTCTATTTCAACTATTCTTGCTCACTAGATACTGAGCTTTTAAAATTATTGTTGTAAATATGTGACCTCTGAATGTTCATAACCTGGGACAAAAAGTTCTGGTCATCTGCCCTCATGATCATCTTGATTTTGATTTAAAATGAGAAAATTGAATGTTACTTAATAGCAATGTGTTGCATAAACCAACACTTTTCAAACATGAGGTCCATGAAATAAAAATTAGCAAAAAGAGGCTTCACTGGTGAAAAGACTCCATGCACCACTACCAGATGGTAAAGGTTTTGAGTTCCAAAACTTTGTATTGTTCTCCAGCATGCCTGCAGCTCTTGATGCGTAGCATGTAGTGGCCACGTGATAAAAATGTACCTGGAAGCGTACCAATGGGCCAGCAACATTGTGGCATTCCAGTTTGGTTACTAGTGTACTTCCAAAAGGCTAGGCAAAGGTCTAAGCTAGGACAAACTCCAGGACGTGTTGTCAGTGGCGTGGTCAGTGCCATGAACTAATTTGAGATCTTCTTGGCACGTTCCAAAGCTCTGTTTTGTGAATCAAAATCTCCACGGACACCTCAGGCATTGTCCCATGTGAATGTTCCTGGTTTTCCTATTGTATTTTCTGAAGTTATTAATGTTGTTTCTTGTTTACTCCTATCTTTTAATTTTTGTCAATATTTCTGTATGCATAGATTTTTTTTCTCTTTTTTTTAAACAGAAATATCTTGCAGGGTCACTGGGCAGGCCAGAACAGTGACAGTGGCCCAAGTAACTGTTGGGGAAGACTGGGCAGGCTCTGTAATGCCCTGATTCATTTCTCTTTGCTTTGGGCTATGAAAACAAGTGGAGGAAGAAGAAATATCACAAGGCAGAATTTGTTTCCTCTTCTTTTTTAATCTTCCCTCTTCATTTTCCCCATTTCAATTCATGAGACTCTCTAGGAGACACTCTCTGCCATGACTTATCTCCTATTTCTTGTCTTATAACATCTGTATTTCATATACGCTCACATCTTTTCTTACTAAACAGTTTAAACTACTTTGTTGGTTTAGATGTTAGAAAAAAAGTAGAAAACGATGTTTATATAAAGCAATTCAGAATATATAAGAGAGAGAAACATGTTTTGAATTTAGAAAATTAGAAATTGCATGGATAGGGAAGAAAAATTTTGAAGTTAAAGTCAGGCATCAGAATGAGATCTGGAATGATTATGAGTTTGTTGTTACTAAAGCGTAAAATGCGATTTAAAATATATAATGGAAAAGTGAAAGTAGTTTAATTTAAAACTACTATCCTAAAAAGGTTCACCACATTTGAAAAGCTAACATATTTCAACAACTACCTACAAAGATAAATATTTATAACATGATAGACTAAGTGTTAGATTTTCATATAGAATACACTCTTACAAACCAATAAGAGAAAGTAGGACATAAATAAGTAATTGCAAAAGAAGAAATCCAAATGGCTAATATGTATGTGGGAAAAATGTACAACTTTACTGGCAATCAAACCAATTCAGATTTCAAAAAAGGAAATCCAATATTTGTTTAGAAATTGGCAAAGATTTTTTGAAAATATAATACCTAACCTCAGTGAGGGAACCAGCAAATGACCACTCATTGTCTGTAAAAGTACAATTTGAGGCCGGGCACGGTGGTTCACACCTGTAATCCCAGCTCTTTGGGAGGCTGAGGTGAGTGGATGATTTGAGGTCAGGAGTTCGAGACCAGGCTGGCCAACATGGTGAAACCCCATCTCTACTAAAAATACAAAAATTAGCCGGGCATGGTGGAGGGCGCCCTGTAGTCCCAGCTACTTGGGAGGCTGAGGCAGGAGAATCTCTTGAACTCGGGAGGTGGAGGTTGCAGTGAGCCGCGATCATGCCACTGCACTCCAGCCTGGTTAACAAGAGTGAGACTCTGTCTTGAGGAAAAAAAAAATACAATTTGTTTGAGTTGGACTTTCTGGAGGGCATCATTCAGAGCTTTTAAAAAGTTCTTCTCTTTCAACTCACCAAATCCACTTTGTTCAGCAAATGTTTTAATTTTACAATTTTTTATTTTTATTTATTTATTTTTTGAGATCTTGGCTCACTGCAGCCTCCACCTCCCAGGTTCAAGCGATTCTCCTGCCTCAGCCTCCCAAGTAGCTGGGATTACTCGCACCCACCACCACACCCAGCTAATTTTTGTATTTTTAGTAGAGGCAGAGTTTCACCATGTTGGCCAGGCTTGTCTCTAAAATTTTTTATTTAAGTTGGAAAATACAAAGAAGAAATCCCTAAGGAGTGACCTGACTTTCCATCAGTAGGGGAGTGATTGAATAAATTGTGATATAAACATATTGCAAAATACGATGCAGGGTTTAGAAAAACAGTTTTGATTGCTATGGATTGACCAAGAAAGATTATTATAATATATAAATATGAAAAATATATAAAATATGTCACTATTTTGCCAAAAAGCAAACAAAAACCTGGCTATGTATATATGTGTTTATATAAGCTTAGAAAAGCTATGGTAAGATCCATACACTATTGAAAATGGCAGTGATATTGAAGGGGAAAGAACAATATCACAAAGGTAGTGATATTGAAGGGGAAAGAACAAATAGCTATTGCTATATTTTTAATTTTGAATTTATAATTTTTTAAAAAGAAAAGGGTCGGTAAATATTTCTGAGCACCCCCAGTGTACCCTTGGTTTCTGGCTACTAGAAATTAAATGTCAAGTGCCAGGGACTAAATCTGTCCTAAGGGAATGATAGGATAACTGCATACTCACTTACAAAGGTGTCACTGATTAATTATTTATAACAGTGAAATACTGAAAGCAAGTTACATATTCAGTAGTAGGAATTCAGTTAAATAAATTATGGTATTCCATGCAGTCGGATGCTCAACAGCCATTAAATAACAGAGTGAAAATACTCACAAGATACTGTATTGTGAAAAGGGCCAGTAACAGATCAACATGTATGAACAAATCCTAATGCTGAAATATATAAATGCATAGAAAAAATTCTAGAAGTTTGTATACACCCCCTCCAAAAATAAAGTATCATTTGATCATGGGTTTTTGGGGGTGCTTTAAAATAGGCTTTATATTTTTCCGTCTACAGTGAACATTGATTATCCTTACAAGCATACAATTTTTGTTAATTATTAGAAGCAGTTTCTTGAGAACAAGATATGTGACTTTGCACAGCATCATACTTGGTCAAGGGAGCTCATTAAGAGAGAAATAGAAAGCTCTCTACCATTTAAGATGTTCCGCATGGAATGTAATGGACGTGAACACTGAGAATTTAAATCTAATGGAAGTGAAGTTGTTTCTTATCCTCAAGCCACAAACCATTTCACAGACACAATATAAGCTCTGTGGCAGCTTCGTGTGTTGGCACAGGCTGGCAGGATGCCCTTGTTGCAGGGAAATACCACCTCTTCACCAGTTTTACCCCTTCCAAGCAAATGCTGACATCTCCCACATATCATAAAGACACATAACTATCTCCGTGAGGACCCACAGTAATAAACTTGGGCCTGTTGTGGTGGGTGGGATCTTCCACCACCACATTTCTTGGTTTATGAGGTTGACCTTTCTTCTAACATTTTCCTTGGAAGCAACAACAGTTTATCCTAAGAGACCCACACATACAGATAACTCAAGGAGTGAGTAGACAGAAACCCAACAAAACACCTCTTTATTAGCCTATATCACTCCCAATCTAGCCAAAATATTATTGTAAGGAATGTAACCTGGGGGATTGAAGTATTATTTACTTCCATGTCTAAGAAACCCATTCTGCCCTTCCTCTTTGTTTTCTTGGTTCCATTGTCATAGACAAGAATCTGGCTGGTGGGAAGTAGATGTGACTGAGGATGGTCGTATATTTCTACTTCCAGGTTTATTGTGCATTTTGAGTTGGTGTGTGTGCCATTAACCCATAATGATGTGTGGTTGTTGTTCTTTCCCCAGAATGTCGAGTGGTGAAGTCCACTTCTTACACCAAAATAGCTTCATCATCCCGCAGGAGCACCACCAAGAGCCCAGGACCGTCCAGGCGCAGCAAGTCGCCTGCCTCCACCAGCTCAGGTAAAGCAGCAGAGGAGATTTTGAAGAAATTGCCTTGTTCCTGACACAGGATGAGCAGAGGGTGTGTGAAGCCCAGAGTGTGAGGTTTTTAAGCGAGTGTAGGTTCCGGTTTATAATTTTAGAACATGTTAGAGCGGTTGAACAGATTTGCTGGAGTCTAGCATATTGGCTGCAAGAAAAAGCATTGAGCTTCAAAATATGTGCTTAGTGAAGACTCAGGAAACCCAGATTTGCCCACAAATAGAAGAACGTTACCATCTTGTATCATTTCTATCACCGAAGTTAATCTTTCAGATTCTGGAAGTCTCTGTTAAAGCATTTATCCTACCTGAGACTGGCCTATGACGAGTTTCCCATTTGTATTCGCTGAACCTTTGTGAAACACACTTTTGGCCCTCAGTTTCCTTTCATGGCTCTGGAGCAAAAGGTAGTGAGATTGAGAGGGTGGAGCAGAGATTGCTGCAGTGACCTTGGCCTGAGCCTGCCTCTCAGTGGGTTCTAGTGCTGGTGTTGGAGAGGCTGTGTATGCACAAGATGAGCACCTCAACCCTACCTTCTGCTTTTTTGTTTTAAAACTGACATGAAGTCAGTTAGAAAGTTTCTTATTCATTTATCTCAGGTGAAGGGTCTGTATCATTATTAAAGGGAATTATTTATTAAATGACACAAATTGTTGATTGGGAATTATTAAACGATACAAATGTCAAAGTGATTGTTACCTGATTTTATGAAGACAAGAAGCTCTTATAAATGAGAATAAAGACCTCTGGGGCCTACTTGGAGGCGTTCTTTTACTCAACAGCATTGGCCAGGGGGAGCGTGAAAAGAGCTCTCAGCTGAGGCTGCCTAAGAAGGAACTTTCAATAGGGTGGATCATTATAGACCGTTACAGGTCATGGGCCGACTAGACCACCCAGCCCACCTTGATTCTCTGTCTCCTTCCCCTTGGAGTTTTACCAATTACTGCTATTCTCTAGACAGATCTCCAAAGACCACCTTCCCCTCTGACTCTCAGCCTAGGGTGGCATCGATGGGCTGCCAATGCCTCCTTCCCACAGCATGGCCTGCATCCTAGCCAGTCAGGAAATATGTTTCAGAGCACAGCTGGCACTTGAGATGCATCTTGTTTGCCTCTGTAGTTAAGGGTGAGCTGAGAACTCCTCACTTAGTATGACATTCCTCATCTAAATAGGATGGAGCCCTAAGATGAGGCATTGCTAAAGGATGAGGCAGTAGACTCAAAGCTTAGAGTTCATGAGAGTCACTTGGGAACTTGGTGAAGTTTGTCATCCTGACCCCCCACACCCTGAGATTCTGAGTAAGGACCTAAACCTGTGTTTCAGCAAGTACTCCAGATGATTAGGATCTGGTAGTCCATGGCCACATTTTGAGAAACAGTAGGTAAGGGCAGTGGTTCTCAAACTAGCAGCATCACCATCACCTGAACACTTGTTAGAACTACAAAGCCTTGAGCCCCCTCTCCAGAACCACTGAATCAGAAACTCTGGAACTGGAGCCCAGCAATTTGGATTTTCCCAAGCCCTCCAGCTGATTCCAATGCACACTTTGAGAAGTAGTGGGTTATGGAAAACAGAAATAAAGTAAATGCAGAAAATCATTTGACTCTGGATAATCTGGAGGGAAAGATATGACTTGTTCATCTTCATTTACTGGCATGACAGAGATGACTTCCTTTCTACCTCCCTCTTTGCCTCCAAGTAACAATGTCCATCAGTGTTCTTGCAATCCAAGAGCAGACCTTTTAGATACCTTGATGTGTAGACCAAAAGAGCAACGAACAAAGGAGAGTACCATATGCCAACTTCCTTTTCTCCTTCCTTGCAATGGCCTGGCTTCAGAGAGTCAGTCACCTGGGAGAAGAGAGAATTTCTTTCTGACGATAATCCCTTCCCCAGGATATTGGGGAAAGTGTCTCTTCAAGAGAAATATCACCCACACATAGAGAAGAAGACCTCCACAAAATGACAGAGTGATCCTGGAATTGCTGCATGGAAAACTCTCCTGGAAGAACTGAGCTTGTCCAACTGTCCCGGTTAATATTGAGCTCTGTGGAGGATGTTCAGTTTTAACTAAAGACCATTTCTCACTTTCTCTGATTAAATATGGGCTGTAGGGTCGGGTGTGGTGGCTCACACCTGTAATCCCAGTACTTTGGGACGTTGATGGGGGTGGATCCCTTGAGGTCAGGAGTTCAAGACCAGCCTGGCCAATGTGGTGAAACCCCCCATCTCTACTGAAAGTACAAAAATTAGCCAGGTGTGGTGGCAGGCGCCTGTAATCCCAGCTACTCAGAGGCTGAAGCAGGAGAATCACTTGAACCCTGGGGGGCAGAGGTTGCAATGAGCAGAAATCACGCCACTACACTCCAGCCTGGGCGACAGAGTGAAACACTGTCTCAAAACAAAAATATCAATCAATCAATCAATCAATCAATCTGGGCTATAGGATGAACTCCCATGGAGCAATAAAGGAGAGCAAAATCATAAGCCTAGCCAGCATATTGCCCCCAAAATTTTGGCTACCTAATGCAATCATACAAGGATGTGAAAGAGAAGGAGAGCCTATATTAATGAAACCATATCAATACTATTAAAAATCATCAATATTAAAAAACAAAATTAGTTCTCCATCCAAACCAACTTTGATTTACATTTTACTTAACCTTTCCTATCTTCTTCCTCTCAGTATATAAGATGAATAAAAAAAAAATGTGGGGCAGATGCATCTAATAATGGGTGATTAGCCAAATTCTTATGTTTTTTATATTACAGATATTCTAAGAAAATCAATAGGCACTACAGCTTTTAATTTTTTATTGTCATTGTTTTTAGCAGCTTTGTTGTTAAGAGCTGTAGGTTGTTAGATATTCCTGGGTTTAAGTTTCTTTCTTTCTTTCTTTCTTTCTTTCTTTCTTTCTTTCTTTCTCTTTCTTTCTTTTTCTTTCTTTTCTTTCTTTGTCTCTCTCTTTCTCCTTCCTTCCTTTCTTTCTTCTCCCTTTAAGTCAATAAAGATGGGGAATGGATCAGATTCTTGTGTACATGTTAAAGAATGGACTGATGAGTCTAATCTTAAAAAGATATTTATTCATATAGGCAATAATTTCATTTTATAATTAACTGGTAATGTAATCACTATTCAGCATTGTAAGAATTTATATTCATTTCTGAAAAGTAATTTTGGAAACTCAAGAAGAGAGGCAAATATATTAAATGTACTTGTATGTCACTGCCAACATTTGTAATTATTCCTTTTAGAAGTTTAAAATGGGTAGGACGCATTGCCTCAAAATCAATAGGTTGCTCCAAACATGCATTTCCACATTCTATTTTTTCTTTGAAGTCCTTTTCAACTCTAGTTGAAACCTGGTTGAACTGACCAGCACTAACTTGAAATTTGTGATAGGTAAGTCATACCAAGTAGTATCATTTTCATAAAGAAAGTAGAGTCCAAATTCATTCTAAAATTAACACGTTCTTGAAAAATTAGCACTTCTAGGTGTCTTTAACTTCTAGGTCAAAATTAATTATATAACACTAATCATATTTTGTTTAATGTGAGCTTTTTATGCATTTAAAATTTTCAACTTGCTGCATTTTGACCTGGAGGAGATAACATGCAACCATTTTCTGATTATGTAAGAGCTTATTATATGCACTGACTGTCTCTTGATTCTGACTTGCTACGTAGAGGGACTTGTTCCCACTTTCCTTTGGATGGTTCCAATTTAGAGAGTTTCACAGAGCAGTCGACTCCCAGTCACAAATGTGTGAATTGTGCCAGTGACCTCAGGACCACCTCCTTTCCCTGGAACCAGACCCAGGGGTTAAGGAGTTCGGCAGCTTTGCCAGTTCTCCTGGAGGCAAGTGCAGCTGCTGGGTGTCAGGGAAGCCCTTCTCTTGGGGCCCCTCCACTGCTCTGGCCCAGGTCTCCTGTCCCTACTCAATTAAGGCGTTTGGAACTAGTGGAAAGGCACGTTGAATTATCTCTATACGGATTGCATCACATTTTCTTAAAATAGCCTGTTTAGTGTTTTTCATCAATCATATGGACTCAAACATGAATTTTACTTAAATACTCCATCAACATTGGTATTGCCCCAAACCCAACTACCACCAGACTTTTTAATGTTAAAGCATCTTTAGACCAGGTGTGGTGGCTCATGCCTGTAATCCCAAGCACTTTGGGAGGCCAAGGCAGGCTAGTGAAACCTGGTCTCTAAAAAAAAAAAAAAAAAATACAAAAATTAGCCTGGCATGATGGTTCCTGTGTTTCCTGTGGTCCCAGCTACTCAGGATGGCTTGACCCCGGGAGGCAGAGGTTGCAGTGAGTTGAGATTGCACAACTGCACTCCAGTGGAAGACAGAGTGAGACCCTGTCTCCAAAAAAACAAAAAGAAAAGTCTTTGTTTTCTCCCTAAAACATTAACCTACAGTTTATAATGATTTCTACTTCAGTGTTTAAATTTCTACTTCCAGTATTCAGTTTCCTATATTATACAGAAATTGGAGCATATTATAAAGTTAAGATCTATGCAATTTTTAGGCTATGCTGCTATGAATATAACATGGTTAACTTATATTTACCTGATACATTATAGTTTACATACGGCCTTTATTTCTTCAATCTTTTTTGATCCTCCTATTAATTTCCTAAGAGCAAGCAAGTAAGGCAAGTTATTATTATCTCTGTGGAAATAAGAACACAGTGGCAGGGCTGGGATAACTGCTTTGCTCTGAGTCCCAGAGTTCAGAATGGCACCTCAGGGCTGGCACCGGGGGCTTCTGGTGCTCTAGACACACAAGGCTGGCAGTCCTTGATACCTATTTCTTCACCTCCACTTACTAGAGTTTTGATCCAGGAAAAAATTAAGCTAGTCCCTGGTTTGAGAGTGCAATTCACAGCATCACAACACCTTGCAACATAAGCCTAAGTATTAGTCCCTTGGCACCAGGGTTCCAGGAGGTGAATGATTTACCCCA